AATCACTATGAGTCCAATCTAGTAGTGAGACCCTGAACACCCTGTAAACCCTGTCCTAAAAATAAAGAAAAAAAAAAAAAAGATCCAAATTTGAAACATTTTTGCCATGTATGTCCTTCCAGACTATTTTTGGTGTGCACATTATTTTCAAGAAAAACTTTTTAAAAGCAGCTGACATACTATACATAATATTTAGTATAAACTAAATAAGATGTTACAAACTTGTCTTAAAATATATTATTTCTATCATTGTTAATGGCCAAGTAGAGTTTATAATATGAATGTATTATAACTTAACCAGTTCCCTATTGTTAGATTGTTTGGGTTGTTTCTAGTTAACTTTTATAAATAAAGCTACACTAAACATGCTTATATATATCATCACAAAGTTGATTATAGGATTTTAAAAATGAACCAAAAATTGCGTGTATTTTTATCTTACCCTTTCAAAACTATTGCTGTACAGAAATCTTTTATAACTTGTTCAGAGTATTACCTGTTCGCAGTATTCTCACCTTTCATAGTGTAAAACATGTATGACTTGAGATGGAAATTTGGCTTAACTATAAACTGGTCTAGTTCCTGCCCTAATACTCAGACAGTGCTTCTAATGAAAAACATTACACAGACTAGGAAAAAACAAAGCATTTTGTGTGGAGGGCTTCTGATCCACTTAATGGATCAGAGCAATATTTAATTAACAGTATTCATGACCTCAAGGTAGTTGCCATTCTAGGCAGTTATATTAGCTGAGGAGAGGCCTTTGTAGTGAATATTTTTTCTTTTTTTTTTTCTTTTTTTTTTTTTAATTAATTTATTTGTGTGTGTGTGTGTGTGTGTGTGTGTGTGTGTGTGTGTGGCCAGTTCAGCCCACCAGGGGGCGGGCTGGCTGGCATGTGCTGGGGGATTGAACCGCGGTCCCTGTGCTTTGCTAAGCTTGTTCTAAGTAGGTGCTTTAGACCACTGAGCCATCTCACCAGCAATTTTTCTTCTTTTTTTTTTTGAGACAGGGTCTCACTGTGTAGCCCAGGTAAGCCTTAGATTGAGTGCTGGGATTACAGGCATACACTACCATGGTTCGCTCTTTTAAAATTTTCTTTTCCTTTCTTACCTTCCCTTCTGTTCTTTCACTCTTTTCTTTTGTTCTTTCTGGGTCTCACTATGCAGTTCAGGCTGGTCTTGAGCTCACTTTGTAGCTCAGGCTGGTCTTGAACTCATAGCCATCCTTCTACCTCAGCCTCCTGAGTGCTCAGATTACAGGTATATATCACCATTGCCTGCCTTACAATGTTTTGTCTCATTTAATCTTCCCAGCCACTGTGTGCTAATCCTCCTGCCTCAGCCTCCCGAGTGAAAGGATTATGGGTTTGTGCTACCACACCTACCAGGTTATATTCTTAAGGGGGATCTACTGGATAGGAAGATGAAACTGCTCTTTACACTCACAGCCCTGTAATTTCCCTGGGGGTTTCTTATTCGTGGAACCAGGGACTGAACTGAGGCCTTTTACTGAGCTATCGTCTCAGCCCCTCTAGAGGGTTTTCTT